GGGGGGGCAAAGAAAGGCCATGAGGGGAATGAGATGGGAGCCTCCAGCTGTGCTGTTTGCAACAATAATGGCCGGGATTGTATTTATTATCTCCTCAGTGGAAGGTCTGCAGCTGCACGCTGAGAGCCACAGACGGCAAAGGGGCCCAGAGATTATTGTGCATGAAAAAAAAAACAACCACAAAAATAAATAAAAAGCCCACAAAGAAGCCTGGGCCAGCTGGAGCAGTGCCAAGGGGCACCCAGCCTAACTCCCGGTCTCCTCACTTTGTCCTTCCTTATTGAAGTCAGCAACCCCGCAGGGCTGTTAGAAGGGAGGTTGGCAGCTGCTGCCTTTCAGAGAACTAAAGATGCATGGGGTCCTCTTAAAATCTTTCTGCCAGGGTGGGAGGTGTTGCCCAGCCAGGGTGAATTTGTTTTCCCTCTGCTTTCTCATGATTTTTGCCGGTGCTGGTGCACCGTGACCAAGGCACGTCATCAGTGTTTGAACACCTGGTTTGCAGCCACCTCTGATTCAATAAACTCAATTATCTTGTAGGTCTTTTCCAACCTTGATAATTCTCTGATTCAAGGAAAAATAACTGGAAAGCCATTAGGATGATGGGGCTGTGTTGAGCTATTTGCTCCTGGAGGGATGCATCTCACCATGAAAGGACAGAGACATCACCCTGGGATATATCACCTTCTCCTTGGCAGCATCCCTCCTCTCTTTTGCTTCCTTCCCCCTGCCTAGCTCAGCTTCTCCAGGGAAACCCATCTCTGTCTACCCATGCAGCATGGTCCTTCTGCAGCTCAAACCAGCCCTCTGGGGTGGTTGGAAGCAAACCAGGTCAAGGATGTGGGGTATATCCATAGACATCACGTCTTTCCCTCATTGACCAGATAGCTGCTGGTGGGTCCTTGCAACCTGCACTTTCCTGGGGTGCAATACTGTGTATGCCATCCTGGATACGTGTCTGGCATGTGGCATTTCCCAGCTGGGCACAATGACATGGCTAATCAGCCCTTTTAAAAGCTAAAACCAAGTATCCATTGTGGGTAGGTTTCATCTCCCTGTGCTGCACCTCTTAACGTTCCTTGCTACCATATGGTGTTCATCCCAGAGTGCATTCCTCTGGAATTATATCATGTCTCTGGGAGCTGGAGTGCAAGGAAAAAGTATCATTGTAGCAGAAGCCAGCACAGGAACAGGCTGGGCAGGCAGGTGTGCATCACCAAGGACTGAGGCTTTAGGAGAAGCTTGTTGTGATCATTTTAGCTTTCAATAATTGACTAGTTAAGAAAGAAGGAGGGTTTAATCCTGCCCAGGTTACTGCTGTGATTTGGTAAAGCACGGGTACTCTCAAGTTCCCTTTGTGCCTCACAGTGAGTCCTTGCGCACTGGAGATGATCAGGCAGGAGGATCTGTTTGTAGCTTCACCAGGTCTTTCTACAGCAATATGCATCAAGACTGGCATAAAACTGTGTAAACCTCTCCTTTATCTATGAAGCACCAGGTGAAGGGCTGGTCTCTTCCCAAGTTTGTGCCAAAATAACGGAGATCTCCGGTTCTGGGACATGTCACTGTGATAAAAATTCTATTTGGGCTGAGTTTGAGGTGTGTTAAGAAAATATTTGAGTTCCTGGCTGAGATGAGGTCTCTGTTATACTCAGTGAGTGCTGGGATAGGGAAATCTCCTGTTCCTTGAAATGTTCACAGTTAAAAAGCAGAGAGGGGAGGATGAGAAATAGGGGTTGTTGTGGGTAAAAGAATTCAGGGTAGTCATGGCTGGGGTGATTTTAGAGCAAGAGAAAGTCCTGAGCTCTTACATCCATTGCAGGCACCTTTGATTGATTCTGTGCAACTCCGGGCTGCTGGGAAGCAGTGCTGCCAATGCTCCCAGTTTGAGCGGCCCTGCAGCTGGTATAGCCAGGAGGCAATGGTGGGGCTGGGATGCTCACATCCTGTCTGCTCCCAGAAAACCCTGTGAATCCCTCCTGGTGTTACTGGGAGGTGCTACACCACTCCAGCACCTGCCTTCCCCTGCCCCCAGCCGCTCAGGAGGTTTGGCAGACAATTTCCTTTCAGGAATGCCCCCTCTAGGCACAAGCACAACTTGACTTGAGGCTGGAGAGCAAAATTGCTTTCAAAAGCCACAGGAGACTAATTCCTCCACCTGGAATAAAACTGCTGTTACCCTGAAAGCCTCCTGGGCTGAGCAGGGGAGGGAATTTTGTGCAAACCCTGGTGCCATGGTGATTTAATTCCTAATTTTCCCATGCTGGAGGTAGCACCAGAATTTTCCCACTCAAGGCAAAATTCCTGGGAGTTGGGCTGCCATTTGCTCACAAAATGTGGCTTTTCAAGGCATGCAGCTCTCAGGGTGGCAGAAATTCTATTTCAGCCATGAATGTAAATGAGCTGGAACTTACTGTATGGGCTGGCAGACCTGCCCGCACGTTTCCTTTTGTCAGA